CGATACTATTATTATCAAGGCTGCACGTCAAGGACGTCATTGTACTGTACTTTCCAGTGGAGCTCTACATGTTGTGCCCGGGGACAGTGCGACTCATGTTGCGGCCTCAGGGATTTAAAAATGCATCCTCTGTTCGCACGGCTCCATCGTTTTACGGCTATTGATCTCCTTGCCTTTAGAGAGAAGATGGTATCTCTATTGATGCACTTCATCGCGTCGATCCACAGGAGAGTACCGGTACAATGACGTTTCTTTGGCTGTGCGCTTTTATTATTACTTTATATCCTGATGGCCTATTTGGTTCCCAAGTCTGCGGGTGATGATTGCGGGATTCAGGTATGTAGGACTCTCATGCTTTTTGGAGAACTTTGCTGAAACGCCTGCCATTATTTAGAGGGACCATTGCAGAGAGCTGCTTGTCTTTTGGTGCTTTGACGTTTACAAGATCACAGCTATGAGTTGCTAAGTATTGTTGGATGAGTTTGGACAATTGTTTATGGTGCATCTTTTATAGGTGAATCATGTCAGCCATGGGGAAGCGTTTATGTCTTTTGGTGGTGTCAACCTTTATTGCGTCTCGGGTGGTTGGTTACCAGCAACGGGCGATTTCTCTGAAGAGTGTCCGCCAATGAACGTCTTTTATGAGTGGACTGTATCAGCAACAAACAACAGCATGCATATCTTTGGTGCCATATCAACCCTCATCCCATCATCCATCTGGTGCTTCCCATTACCTGCAATTTGGTGAACCTCCTGAAACAAAGGTCCCTTATCGATCGATCATGTCAGCAACAAGGAGCAGGTTTATACCTTTGGCGTCAGCAAGCTTTCGATCATCTCGTGGTTCTGATTATTGGCAATTCCTTTGATGGATCTCTACAACTATACGCGTCGTCTTATGGATGGATAATGTCATCAACAAGCAATGAGAGCCCGCGTTGACATCTTTGGTGTTACCAAGGTCATTTATGCATCTCCTCAAGGCATTCATCGTCAAGCTGCATTCGATTTCCAATGAAAAACGATTGCCATTCACATCGCTCTTTAGCCATATGTACGTCACTCCGCAGCTAGGATCTGGTTTGGGCTTTTCGATGCACAATGCTTTCTCGATTTGCATGTGGTCTTGGGCAGCAAGGATTGTCTCGTTGTCTCTCTTTGTAAGGGCACTTCGGCATCATGTAAGTATGCTCTCTTTGGTGGTATCAATATTACTCAACCTTCTCACTGCATATGCCCATAAAGTATCGTTCCATCGCTTTCAAGCCGAGTGCCACCGTAGCGGGCCTTATCAACAAGCGGATGATTGCAAGGATCGGCTAGATTTGGATATCAGTAGGATTGCGTGCGTATGGCAATCATTGGTAAATATGGGATGAACCGTTTTTTGGCTCCAATCCTAACCAACCTCCTCTTTTATTATAGTGTGGGGACTATTCAGCAATCTACTTGTCTTCTGGTTCTTTGGGATTTTCATGGATGAAGCTGTCATTGAATGTCGACATGTTTTCGTGCGTATGGCTATCATTGGTAAATGGTGGATGATCCGTTTTTTGGCTCCAACCTCAACCAACCTCCCCTTTTATTATAGTATGCGGGCTATTCAGCAAGCTACTTATCTTCTGGAGCATTGGGATTTCTATGGGTGAAGCTGTCATTGGATGTCAACGTGTTTTCGTGCATATGGATATCATTGGTAATTGCTGATCCATTCGTTCTACAACGCCTGCCAACCTACGCTTTTATCTTAGCACGTGGTCTATTCAGCAAGCTTCTTGTCTTCTGGTGCATTGGGATTTCTATGGATGCAGCTGTCATTGGTAAATAATGTTCCATTCTTTCTTTCAATGCCTACTAACACCCTCTTTCATGTGGGTTATTCAGCGAGCTACTTGTCTTGTTCCCTTTGGATTCTTGATGGATGCAGCTATCATTGGATGTCGACAGGGTTTTATTCATATGGCTTTCATTGGTAAATAGTGGATGACCCGTTTTTTGGCTCTAATCCCAACCAACCCCCTCTTTTATTATAGTATGTGTGCTATTCAGCAAACTACTTGTATTTTGGTCCTTTGGAATATTCATGGATGCAGCTGTCATTGCTAAATATCGTTCTATGGATTCGGGAAACTGTTTACCGTGCACCCTTCATAGGTGAATCATGTCAGGGTCAAAGAGCAACGTCGACAGCATCCTTCAGTGTCAGCTTGCCTATTACATCGTTCGATGGTTTTCGTTACTGTACCACCTATTGGACACTTCCTTTTATTTGCATCTGCAGCGGCAAGGCAACAAGTTGTATACCTTTTGGTGTCGCCAAGTTTTATCTCGTCTTATTGTGGTCCTAGTTGTTGACAACCCTTTCAATGGATATCCTGCTACGCATGCCTGTTATCGGTGGATCATATCAGCTACAAGCAAGAAGCAGCAATGAGCAACAGAGCCCACATCTTTAGTGTCAACAACATTTACTTGATTCCCTGGTGGTTCTCGTTTTTGGCGAATTGATTTCAAGAGCCCTCTTCACCGCACGTATCTTATGGATGTATCACATCAGCAACAAACAACAATGTTACGTGTTCTTTGGTGCTGTCAAGGTGTATCCATCTCTCATGGCATTCATCATCAAGTATCGCTTGGAGAAACGGCTATCAGAATTGGTCACTGTGTCGACATCTCTACAGCAAGAAAATGTGTTCTGATTACTGGGTGGCATCAAACATCGTGGATTCTCATATGACACTGGCTAAGTATTGCTACCATTACCTCAAAGATAAATTAGATGCAGTTTTATAGGCCCATCATTCCATCAAGCTATAATTTCGCATGCTCTTTGGTGCCATCAAAGTCTCTCCTTACAGCTGTCAATGGCGAATCCTATTGAATTGGAAGACGAAGATCAACATTTGAATTTGGGTGGGTGTCTCAGAAGCAAGCAAGCGATCTCTATCTTATAGTTGTGGTTGTCAAGGATACCGTTTCCATGGTTTGGAATCAGCTACTTGCAAGTCGTCTCTTTATCGATGGATCTTCAAAGCAATGTTTTTATCGGTGCCATGGCGGATCTCATTCCTCAAGTACTCGTATGGATACCTTGGACGTTCTCTTGCAAGTGAACATTCTCATGTGTGCTATTTCATCAAGACCGGATTTATTTGTTGCAGTGCATGATGTGTCTCTCATGACGCCTACCCAAGAAGGTCGCTTGATGGCAGCTACTACTGATATGGCGGATGTTTATTTGCTATGGGTAGAACGGGATGGTGCCTTACTCTTTTGCGTGAAGCATCGTTGGCAGCTATGATTCATTTACGACAGTGTGGTCAGCCCTATCATGGCCCTATCAATTGCATTTGAGGATTACTGCCTTAGCCGTTGGAAGTTAGACAGTTACTCAGTGGCCTTGTGGTAGATATGGGATCATGTATTGCTTTTTGCTCTTATGGGTTGGCCTCTGTGGGCGTGAGATGCTATTTTGTCCTTTTATCAGACCGAACATGTTGACTCGAGCAGCACCTATAGAAGATGCCATAGGAGATGCAATGGCAGCCCCCGTTATCCGGCTTGGTGCACCGTAGGGGAGAGGGTGACGGCAAAGCCTTCGCGTGGCCATCCTTGTCAGTACATGGTTTCCATGGAAGCTAATTTGCCACCTTATCATTTATATACTTATTACGCATTCATGAGCTTCACTAACAGTACTCTAAGAGCTATACTTTGATGTTGGAAAGATAACGGATAATCTACAGCATACGTCAAGATAATACCATGCAGCAAGGCTTTCTTTGCGATCAATCAACGTTGAAGGTTGGTTTTGATCATACCATTTATCACGTGATTACAATAGTGTTCTCCATCAGGCGGTGAAAAAGGCAAGTTGGGCAGAGCAAAGGCTACTACAGTAATTTAATGATTGATCATGTTGGCAGTTGTGTTTCCACTTGCCGGAATTACATGATTTCAACAACATTGTGTGTTAGCTGCAGGACAGTAGTAGAGGCTTAGTCATACAACAATGAATTCAATAATGGCATCGATACACACATACTACGACAACATTGATGGATAAGATGAGCACACCATAACAACATCACTTGGATCGTGAGTTTTCATTTTCAATTTATGTACAATGAAGATCAGCCAAACGTGACTTGATAGTGCGTTACAGTATCAGACATGCAAGACAAGGATGTATGTTTAATCAAAGAACATGGTTTAATAATGATTACGATATGTACTAGAATAAACAAGTAGCTGTTGGTTTCCTAAAGCCAAGGCTAAAGTACTCACAGGGATGACCAACGAGAAGGTCGCTACTCAACCATCCCCAACCTCTACCTGTAGGCACCAATTCCAGGTCGACGAGGCCGCTTGTACATGCCACTTTAAGGTGCCGGGACTTGACGCGCCAAAACCTCGTTTGGAAGAACCCATGCTTGTGTCCTTGAGATAGAAAAGTGCAGCATGTTTTTGGTGAGCGAGAGCAAATAGGTGGAAGAATACTTATCTTCCCTCCTAGTTTCCTTCCAATGAATCCTTTGG